GCTGAGCAGCAGGCATCGCTTCGAGCCCAGGAGTTTCAGGTTGCTGTGAGCTGGCTTGATGCCACGGCACACTAAGCCATGGGCAATCAGAGTGACGACCTCTATCTCAGAACAAAGAAAAAAGCACTCGCCTGACACGCTTTTTGTGGAGGAAGTCCCCTCCGTCTAATTCTCCCTCCCACCACGCCACATGCTCGGGAGATTGTCCTGTCACTCTCGGGGACAGGTGGGAGAGAAGGAAGTGGGGATGGGGAGGGGGAGGAAAAAGCATAATATAGAATATTATCACTACCAGTGATGCAAGAATATTCAAAGCAAGCTGATTGGTAAGGAGGGACACTTGCCAACATAGACTTTTAGGTCTTTTTTTTTTTTTACATCAGGCTATCTAATGTATAATAATGGTGCTCCCACTGTTTTTATTCTATAATTTTAACCAGAGACTACAGCTCCAGGAGTGCAGCATCCAAACCAAGCCGTGACGCTGGGACCTGCTCACCAGATAAGACAAACTTACCAGTTTATTTAATAATAAACAACTAAAAATTCCACGACCTCCGACACAGCCGAATAACATCGGTTCCAGTCGGGGTTGGATCTCCACACCCATGTGCTGCCTTGCGGCAACAGTCCGCTCTGCCCTGCAACCGTGGCTCCTACCACGACTTCTTCCAACCTCATAGCCTCCCACTTCCCGCAATAATATACACACCGCAGCGCGGCTCAGTGGTGTCCTCTGAGCGTTTAAACTGGCAGTTTTTGCAAGCCAGTCTTCATTATAACTTAGCATCAATTAAACGTGCATATACACCTTGTTACCAAAAATTGAAAGCACATTAACATAGATGGAAATTTGACTTTTTCGGCTCTTAGTTTACTACTGGTCGTTTTAGGATGTCTTTACGGAAGAGCCAATTGCCAAAACAAGCAAGAGCTTTTCGTTGTTAAATGAATGTTCTTATCTTTCCTTTGTTCCCTTGCGGAATCCACATCTGAACGAGGTTAAAGAAGGAAGAACATCATGTCAAACCTACAAGCCTTGGCAAACTCCCACGGGACCGGCCGGAAGCCTCCCAGATTTCCTGGCCCCGGTATCGCACAAGGGGTCCCCTTCTTCCATAGGGACCGCTGGGTCTCACCAGCTCGGAGAGGAGGGAGACAAAGTGCACCAAAGATAGGAGAAGATCAGGCCCTTTCTCACGGACAGGAGAATGGCTCTAAAAAACTCACCACCTTTCCTTTCTTTTTGGCTCTGTTACCGGAAAAGCGATCGTTCTTTACCCAAAATGGCCGGTCCCTCTGTTCTCTTAGCCTCAATCTATTTTTTTTTGTTTTTTTTTTTTTCTTTTTTTTTTTTTTTTGAGACCCACCCAACACACACCCACCTTAACAGGACAGCTCAGCCTGCTGTCCGGGGGGACAAAAGCCATCTAAGTTTCCTAAATGCATGGGATCCCCGAAAGCTCCTCTTTCCCACAACACTCTTTCTCGGACTCCCGTATTCCGGGAAGAGTCCATCGGTTGTATTTTAGCATCTGCAGAACACACTCGGCTCCTGCACGCGTTTCTGGGGGCCGACCCGCCTGGATCCGCCCGGGCTGCCCACATCACGGACGAAACAGACAGTCAACGAACAGAAAAGACAGCTCATGCAGGTAATGTCAAGTCTTGCAGAGGGTTTGTTCTTGGATATGGGAATTCAACCAATGCCAAAGTAATAAACTGGCCAGGCAAAAGTTGCCCTGGGCTCAGTGTTCTGGGAGGATTTGGGGGGATGATTCCAGCAAATTAAGTGTTTTCCCCCCTCCCTTGGCTATTATATAACACTAATAAATTTCTCTACATCTGGTGATGAATCCTCAATAATTTCAATGCATTTATTTGTTCCCGCCCTGATCATTCCACAAAGAGCTTAAGACCTAGCAAAGGTCCACACAGGACAAGTATATTAAATAAGTAAGTTTCTCAAAGGGTGTGGCGGGGCACAAGCCCGAAGGTGGAAGTCGGCCGCAGGCCCGGTGCCCGCGAGTGCATCCTGGGCTTCCTGTAGGGCTACGGGGCAGAGGGTGAAAGGCCGTCGCGCGTCCTGGTTGAGCCGGCAAGGCGGGGACGTGCCCACGCCATGCCCCCCTACCTGTTGGGTGCTCTCGATCATCGCCAGGGCCTCAGCCATTAGCTTCTGGTTTATGCCGCAAAGGTTGGCCACCTTCGTCTGGCACCTGTGGTGTACGTTCATGCCACATGCTGCAACGGAGAAACGGGGCGGTGAGCCGGCGGCGGACCGCCGGTGCCGGGGCGCTCGAGGTGGGCCCCGTGTCCGGGCGGGAAAGCCTGTTGCCAAGCATGTGAGTGCTCAGGCCGTGCCGCAGTGGGGAGAACGGTGACTCGCTCTGCACGGCGCAACGCGGTGCCGGGGAGGGGAGGACGCTGCCTCCCACGCTCGGTCCCGAGCCCGAGCGTCCCTGCCCTGCCTGGGCTGCTGCACCAGCCTCTCACCCTCCCGGCGGGAGCCCGGGCTGCAGCGTCAGCCACGGAAGGGGGTGTGTGTGTATGTGTTCATGTGTGTGTGTGTTCGTGTGTGTGTGATGTGTATCATTGTGTGTGTGTGACACGGGACTAGATAAGGAGGAGGGGGGAGTGGCCAGAGACCTCGTGCTCACCTTTGGGGCTAACACACGGAGACCTGACCACTGGCCAAGAAAGGGGTCCCTGGGGGTGCACAGCTCTGAGCCGGGTGGCGGGGGCCGCCGGGTTACTGGGTCTCCCACAGGCAGGACTTAGGAGGCTGTGGGGGCATCCCGATGGACTTCTGGTCCCTCACAGGAAGGAAGCTTGGAAATTTCGTTTTGTTTTATAGCTGCGAGATGCATTCGAGGCTAGCGAAGTGAAGCCCTCTCTTTGGGGAGGACGGAAGGACAGAGAGGTGGGCGGGAGTTAAACCCTGACATCTTTAGTCTTCATCTTCCTCCCCGGACGTGAGAGGGTGGCGTCCTAGCCCACAGCGGACGGAGCTTGGCGGCCACACCAGCGTGACGTCGCTGGAACGGGACTCGCGCAGAAGTGCTCTCTTTCCCCTCCGGTTCTCGTCCCTGCGCCCACGCTGCTGCCCCCTGCACAGGACACGCCATCGGGTCCTCTCCTTGGGGCACGAAGTCCCCGAGTCCCGAGTGCCTCTGCTTGGATGGACAGGGGCCTGCCGGAGAGCCGTTGGAAAACGCAGCGCCACGCTCCTCCTGGCCAGGGGACAGCCCGGGTGGCAGGAAGTACGGCGGGATCGCTTTTGCAGAGACGGCACCGTGCATGGCTTGAGGACGCCAGGGGCCACGGAGACCTGCCCAACAGCGAACCGTCGACCCTCCGGAATGATCACGGCACTGTCTGATTGTGGCGGGCAGATCTGCTGACACATTACTTGGGTGCCTCTTTCCTCCCTAAACGGCTTCCTTCCCTGCCCCTGCACCTGCACCCTCGCCCTGGCTGGGCCATCTCCCTCCTGCAACAATATTATCGATCGAGTCCCGATGAAGTGGGGTTCAAGGTCGTAAAGAGAGAGATATTTCTTGCACGCAGGCATGCATGGCTCAAGTTCACATCTATGACCTAGTTACGGAACGTAGCTCCAAGAAAAGGAACCAAAGTTTCCTTTTTCGGCTTTGTAAGAGTCACACGGGGTGTTATTCTAGATTTGCGAAGAGAAAGAAAAAAGGGAGTGGGAATACCTGCGGATGGCGGGAGGAGATGTGTGTGCTGGTCACGGCTCGGCACGGAGCCTGGACACCGTGTGACCTTGGGCAGGTCACGTGCTTTCCAGGGCTTCGGATTTGGCCCGGGCACTGAACTAATGATCCACGCGGGCTCCTAGCCTAGCGACCTCCAAATCTGGGCGAACATCCTGGATCCACAGTCCTGGAAACAACACCCCCCCAAAGGACTAACCTCCACTTCCTACGACCAGGGGAGCCTTCCTGGATTGTCTTTGCCTGTGCAAAGACGGCGATGACATCACGCCGCTCTTTTAGAAAATGCAGATGTTGCTTATGAAACAAACATCCCATTAATAAAAAAAAAAAAAATCTAACAAAGATTTCCAAACTCCAGCTGCCATCTAATCTCGAGTTCTACTTGTTCTACAGAAATCTGCAAGTCGGAGTTGTTATAACGGAATCGGGCGGTAGGAGCGACAGGGCATGGCGCCTTCGGCTCATCTGCACCACGTCGTGTGCAAAGAGCTCGGCGCAGGGACTGGCATCGGGTAGGGCTCCGCAAACGCAGCTGTCTTTGGTCTTCGCCACGTGCCGCACTGACGTGCACGTTGAAATATCTAGGTGGAATGTTGGCAGCCCGCACCTGTGGTTTTCACTAGCTCGCTCTTCCCGAGGCAGCTCACAAAGACCCAAATAAGGCAGCATGTCTGTGTAAGTAACTCTCAACTCTCACTAGGCCCAGCTGTGTGCATAGAGTCAGCCACAAAATCACCGGAGCCAACTTTTATGCCATTGAAAGGTCTTTAATGCAGGAAAGGTGTGTGGACCGACGGCGCTCGAGTCCGAATCGTCAGCGTGACCCCGGAGGGACCCGTGCCGGCCACTTCCCTTAGGTTGCAGCCTGATCCACGATGGATCGATCGTCTCTGGCTTGCAGGGCTTGGAGAAAGAGGCCACCTCTCCTCTACGGGGGTCGCAATTCTTTGCTACTAACCTATTCCGCGGTAATGGATCTCTGTGAGTGCAAATAGTCCCCTTGGTGGCTATTTTCATGGGATTACCGTGGGGGCAGAGAGGGAGCGCAGGTAAAGGCTACCGGGAGCCCTACTTAAGACGGAAGCAAGACGGCCAGCCGCCGGCCAGTGGGGGAGAGAAGGCGAGGGCAGGCAAGGCTGGAAATGCTCGGGGAGGAGGGGGAGGGAGAGAGGGAGGAGAGGGGTAAAAGAAGAGGGGGAGGGAGTGCTGAAACAGGTGTAGGAGAGAGCGGGGAAAGAGAATGGAGGGGAAGAGGAAAGAATGTTGGAAGAAGGGACGGAACAAAGCAGACCCGGAGGAGCCGGTGAAATAATTGCAGGAACCTCGGGAGTTCCAGGCCAGGCCGGTCGGCTCTCGGACGGGACGCCTGGCCGGAGACCTCCCAGAGGACCAACCAGCCGGTGAGAGGGATCACACGATTCACGTTTCCCGTCCAAGCAGAGAGATCGGGATGTCACTTTTTGCCTGTGCGCCCGTCCCTGCCTACGGGAAGTCTTCTCGAACAGGTGCGTAGAGAAGGGGTCAGGGGCACTTCCGGGCCGGACGGACTACGGGGTCAATGCTGAGTCCCGTGATGTTCACCTTGGGTGACGTTTGGGGACCTGCCTTCTCCTTGCCTCCACCCGGGACGCGCTCGGGGCTCCCCGGGGAAGGTGGACGGTATCAGGATGAGGACACAGAGAAAAATGCGCGAGGTGGCCTTTCCCTCTGCCACCTCCAGCACGCGCATGAGAAGACGTATCCCAGCAGGGGCGTACGATCCAAGTAGGGCCGCAAAAAAAAAAAAGTGGCTTAGCTACTTAAAAATAGTCCCTCACGAGAAGCGGTGCGTGCTGTGGCCGGAGGTCCCTCCTTTTGTGACTGTACCATCCGCGCCACCCTCACTGCCACCCAGAAGCAGACCGCTTTGTCCCTGCTCGCCGGGACTTTTTCCTCTCCCTGCTCCTAATCTGGTATGACAGCACTCAGTCTCTAAGGTTGTTGCCTTAGCACCTGGAGTTCCCGAGCAAGAAGCCTTGTTGCTTTTCCTTTCCTCAAGGTGAGTCTGAGATAACTCTGTCGGTAAAGAGTGCTCGGCCGTGCTGCCTTTGGTGGGGTGGGTTAGGGGGTGGGGAACAGAGAAGGGAACGGGCCGGAGCTGGACTGGCCCCTTCCTGGGCGCTCCGAGCTCCCAGCGATGGTTAGGGACAGACTGTCGAGCTCACGTTGCAGATTTCTCGTGCAGGACCACACGCCGACCACATGCGTGTGCTGGGCTTTGTTCCGACGGAGGTGACAGAGTGAATGTTACCAGCTGGCCAGAGGAGGTGCGGGGCAGCCCACGCCGACTGCCGGACCGCGCGGCGCCAGAACCACCGTGGAGCCAGGGGTCGGGTCAGGTGAGGTGGTGATCCTGGCAGAGGACACGTCAGAGGAGAAAACACTGTCTTCATTTCTCCCCGGGGCCACAGTGCGACAGAAGGCACAGGGGCCAGGACCTTGACCTTGAACTTGGACATGTCGTGCATTTCCTGAGATCCAAGGATGAGGGTGGAAGGAAAAGAGAGGCGCAGCGTGTTGCCCCGGGAAGATGGCATTTGCCATCGTGGCCCCTCCGGGCCGGTGTGGGAAGTCGTGCCTTATGTCCCCCCACCCCTCCTGCTCTCCGGAAAGCTGCCCTCGACCCCTCGGGGGTGGGGGCGGTCCGCCTGGGGACTCACCGTCACACTTGAGCCCCTGCCGCGCCAGCCCCACAGCAGCGTCCCACAGTGCTCCGCAGAGGGTGGGGCTCTTGTAGCTGTACACTTTGAATCTGTGCGGCATGTCGATTTTGAATCTCTCCTTGTGGAACTGGAAGGAGAGAGGTGGGTGGTGAGACGAGGGTGCCTGTCCCCAGGCCGACTGCTTCCCGGCACCTCAGCGCTAACAACAGGGACCGCATGGTGGCAGGAGGCTGCCGCCGTGCGCCATTTTAAACCACCGTCGCCGTTGTCAGGGCTCCTGGGCCCGACTGAGACGGCAGGAGCTGAGCGGTCGTGGCAAGGGCGAGCTTGCCGGCGCACGCGCGGGCGCCCTGCAGACGGCCGAGGCCCAGCGGTGCTGCAGGAAGCAACGGGAGGCTGTTATGTAAACCAGAGTCAGGAAGCGCTGCCCCTGTTTAAATGAGGAAACTTTTTTTCTCCTGTGTTAATATAAATATTTCCTTTTCTCGTTCGGTGCAGAACTAGTGCTTTTACTTTGGAGGATGCCAAAGATGCCTCCTCTAGAGGAAGCAACTTCCCAGGCTTGGCAGGGGAGAGCCCACGTGGGAAGCATTTTCGCACCTGTTGTCTGTGAGCGGGGCGGGTGGAGAGCGGTTGGGCAACGCTTCCCACCAGGTGCAGAGACGGATATGTACCTGCATTGTCTATTACACACGGAGGTATCTCGTCGCAGTCTTAGAACACCCATTCGAGTGTAGCTTCTACTATTGCACAGATGAGGAGATTAAGCCCAGAGAGGGCCAGAACTTTCCCAGGTCACACA